GAATAAAATTCAAACCCTGTCACACCTAGAAGCCCTTGTAGGTCTGCCTTAGGTGATCTCTCCAATCTCATCTCTAGCCATGCTTTATTACATGCTAGCTACACTCCTCTTACAAGGCCTTGGCAGCTACACTCCAGCTTCACTCATCGTCTTTCAATCCTTAACACCAAGCCCCTTTCATTTTAAGGGAATACTTGTCCCACAGCCTGTTCCTTCTCATCCTTTAATACTCAGTTTAAATTTTAGTTCCTGGATTTGTTTTCTTCATAACGTTTATCAATAATCTGTAATTACTGAGTTTGTTTGCTTTTTGTCAGTTTCCTCTAGTAACAACAACAATAATAGTAATGATGATAGCTTTTAGTTATTGACCCTTACTATTTGCCAGGTATCACTCTATGAGTTTTAGATACACTAACCCTTTTAATCCTCACAGCAACCGTACAAAATAGGTATAATTATTATTCACATTTTACAGATGGGAAAACTAAATCACGAGAGGTTAAATAATTTACCTTCAGTTTTACTGTTAGGCAGTGGCAGAGCTGACATTTGAACCCAGATAATCTAGTTTCAGTTTAACCACTGAACCACTGACCTTTTTTTTTAAACTGTAGGTTACAATCTATATGTGCCTGGATCAATAAAATTAATTTAATGATTTTTTAAGTAAAATGGAACAGAATAGATCACATAAGAATGTACTCACTTAGTAAGGATAAGTATTAGTTTGTGAAGCTTTTGGTTCAATTATACATATCAGGTCATGATGTGTGAAAGCTACTGCACTGTGCATTCTGCCTCTGTGTAAGTTCCTGAACTGACCCATTTACCAGCATATCCCTAGGGTCTAGCCCAGTCACTGGACCACAATAAGCTCTCAGTGAATATTTACTGATTAAAATAAGCCATGGTAAGTATTAAGAAGCTGATAAAAAGACTCTTCTCTAATTTCTGTACAAAGTTTATTTTTTCTGATGTCAACCACTGAAGTTCATTTGAACTTGAATTTAAAGATCTCATTTATGTTGTGCCAATATTCATAAAGCTATATTAATAGTAAATACAACTGGGTAGTATGAAGAGTTCAGAAAGGCTATTAGTCCTTTGTACACCCTATTGTTTGAAAATCCCTGTTCTTCGAAAACTGGATGAGGAAAGTTATAGTTCCTTGAGCTTATACTTTATGTTTTTAAAAGATTAAATATTATTATTATTTCTGTTATTTCAAGCGATTATAAAAAAAAAAAGACAGTTTTGAGTATCAATCCTAGCTATTACTGGCTCAGAGTTTTTAGGCAAGACAAACTTTTGAGTTCCTAGTCTGTTTAAGTGGTGAATGAAAACCTACCTCCTTAGGAACAACAGTCTGGTTGAAAGGTAGCCTAAATTGTTTTGAAGCCATACTTACATGGCAAGCAGAATATTTTTACCTATTTGTATGATACAGATAAGGATTAAAAGAGTAAAATTTTCTAAAGATGCTTTTATTCTCATTTATATCTAAGATTGAATATGGCAGTTGTATTAATTGAAGGAAAGGAGCAAAGCCTTTCAAACACATTAGCATTGATCCTACCTTGAAGGTTAGAGATAATTGGAAGTATTTAGTACTTATCTGAACATTGGTTCATAATTAAAATTATTATTATGATAGCTATTATTATGATAAACAGGGCCCGAGGCCCTGCAGCTGGAGGCAATGATGGCTCAGTATACCTTGTTTAAAAATCCATCTCTTTAAAAGTCGTTATTTTATAGGAAGTTAAAAAATCTCTGGGTTCAGTTTTATCTTCTTGAACTGTAGGACTTTGAAATAGATTATATTTAATGCATTCTTTGAAACCTCTCTAGTATGCAGTACAGCTATCTGCACATTGGGTTTTTGCCAGGCTGCACCTAAATTGCACTGGTAATAAAAACAAAGATCTTGACGTTCTCTTGGGACTTTAATCTCCTGAGACACCAGGGGGAGGAGGGGGGGGAGGAGGAGGAGGAGGAGGAGGAGTGAGTTCAATCATCTGAAGATACATTAGCATACTCTAAACAGGAAAAACAAGATTTATCTTTTTAAAGGCTCATTTGAACAATGAGATCATTAAATTTGTATAAGGGTAATTACTTTAGGTGTCTTTTAACTTCTGAGGGCCTAGAGAACCATTCTCCCTTCTTTGAAAAGAGAGCCCTATACCTCTGCTCTAGATTCTCGTTTTCCATTAAAAAACAAAAACAAACAAACACACACACACACACACAAAACAGGCTTCTAACCTCAGTAATTCAGTAAAATTAAGGCTACATACCCTGGCTAAGCCTATTTAAAATGAAAAATAGTATTATTGAGCTCAGCTCTTTGGTAAGCATTTTTACACATATTATCTCACGTAATTGTATCAAAAGGTCTAAGCAGAGGCAGAGAGGCTGGCCAATTAATAGGCCGTAACAGTATTACAGAAGCATGAGAGCAGCTTGGAGTATGGTGGTGGCAGTGGAGAAAGCAGGTCTTGACAGACACTTGGAAGGCATTATCAACTGGTTTCGGTGAGTGCTTAAAACACTGCCTGGCAGATGGTTGAGAAGTATTTGTAAAAGAATGGATTATAGAGGGTGAGGATTATGGGGGTAAAAGGATGACTCCTGGGTTATCTGGACTCCTAGGTTATATGGTGGTGCCATTCACTAAAACAGGGAAAGGGAAGAAAAACTGGTTAAAGGATTTACTTCTCTCACATGCCCCCTGATAACTGGCATTCCCATTCCTATTGCCTTGATGGCAGTATTTTGAACTAAATAACTTGTATCTCCAGGCCAGATGGGGATCCTACCCAAGGGCCAATAATCCATAGGATGAATAATGATTTGTGTGATTGGGCTACAAAAAATAAGAGTCTTCCTTCCTTGGGTTTGAACTAAGAAGTAGAGGAAAAATCTGGCAATTAGAGCAGAGGCCAAATGACTTAATCTAACAGAGGTTCAGCAATAGCAAATTAGGTCAGTCAGGTTCCCATCAGATAACAGATGAAAAACTCAAACTGCATAATTTGGAAAGAATTATTAAACTATTTACAGAGGTACAGGTAAGGGTCAGTAAACCAACACGGGATAATGTAGTACCCCCAAGGGCAAGTGGTTATTACACCTAAGGGGCAAAGGGAAGGATCAGAGATTAACTGTACAGAGAGGGATCTGCAGTCAACCCTTGGTAACCCATCTTGGGGAATAAGGACTATGACCTCACTATCTTCTGACTTTGAATCTGCTGCAGATATTTCTTTCTACCTGAATACACTGAGACGGCAGGCAGAGGGATTATCATTGATGTAATCTGGACAGGTCAGCCCTCTGTGACACAGGAACAGGAAAGGGTGGAGAAGGGATATGGAGAAGCAAATAGAAGATAGGTGAAACTGTTCCCCAGAGGCAGTTATGCAGAAGCAGTAATTATCAGTATATATTTAAAAGAAGGACAACAAATAGCCAACTCCCTTCACTGACATTAGTGGCACTGCGCTACAATGAAGATACCCAAACATCTACTGTTGAGTACTTTGGAGACCTTTTGAGTACACATTTACCCTTCTTCTCTCCTTGCAAGCACAACCTATTGCTGAGAGTCTTCCTGTGTTTCCTCAAAAAAGCATCTTGACAATTTTTCACTTTAAAAAAAAAAAGCAGCAACAAACAAAACCACTAACCATGATTAGGTAACCATGTGAACCTAACTTCAGGGAATCACTCTCCATAACCTCGTTCTCAACTGAATGTCTTTAATTAACGTGTGCTTAAATAGACAGTAAAGCAAAACGTGTATTCTGAATCACATCGAGTGTTAATTTGACAGACTTTTATAAGAGAGTCAAGCATCACCTGGCAAAACTCCAAAAGGTTGACTACAACAGGAAGAGGAGTTAGATAGATAGCAGTTAAAAACACAAAGCTTCACCAATAACGGAGCTAGTAGACATGGTGCTTCTCTGGGGATATGCTTAGAGGGGGGAGTATAATCCTTTTTAATTGGAAATGGGTTTGGGAGGTTCCTTAGGGTCAGGTAAATTGGAAATTAGTACAACAGAAAACAAGAAAGACCTTACTTTTTAACTACCTGTTGTAATGTGTGAATAGTTCATTAGCCTTAGGAAAATAAAGGATTTATGCCTAGTACTTTCGAGTAAATTAATGAAAATTTATCTTGAGTTTAATGTGATTGGAACGAGATGTAAGAGAGGGGAGTCCAGTACACATTTTCGGCCTAGTTTTGCAGCCCTTAAAGGAAGCCAGGAGGGACCCATTGGCAAGTCCACACAAATGTCAGGTATAGATATTTTGTGGGGGGGTAGGAAGGAGGTCCCTCAGAGAAAAAAGGTTTCACCCAGCTGAACCCATTTTCAGCGACCTTACGTGCGAACAGAAACATTAACTCGCAAACACAAGTATAGGAAACCAGTAACACTCATTTAAGTGCCAAGTACAGAGCTTTTCTGAGATTTTAAAATCTAAAAGTATTTGTACCTGTTTTCTGGTACCTTTTTACATATATCCATTTCAGGAAAAAGTATTTGCAATATGGTTAATTTGTAAACAAGTGTTATCTCTACAAATTAAAAAAAATTAAGAGCCGGCAAAGTATTAACAATTTGTTTTACTCCGGAGCACTTTAAAATTACTTCGGATCGTGGGTGAGAATAGGGGCAGGGAAGTGCACTAAACCGAGCGCCAGGGCAAAGGTTTCTTAAAGTTACTTACAAACGAGAGTTTTCATTTTGGACGTGACTCAAGATTACAGGTGACTGCAGTGCCCAGAAGCGCCAGGGGGAAACTTTCTCGCCGGGATAAGCGACGGACTCAAAGAGGAAAATGGCCCAGCGGGGTAGCCCCGCCCAATCGGGAGCCGCCCAGGGTAGGTGGCCAAGATTACCCTCCTCGCCTCAGGCCAACTCCACTTCAGGGCCTGGGGCAAAGCCGCCGCCCCGCCCCCGGCCCCACGTGCGTAGCCCGCCCCGCCCTGTGCCCGCAGCTGGCGGAGCCAGGCGCGAGCCCACCGCGAGTCACAGAGGCGGGTGCGCGCCCTGCCCCTGTGCCCGCGGCCTGGGCAGCTGTAGCCCGGGAGCGGGGGAATCGCCCTATTCGCCCTCCTTCCCCCTCGGCTGGCCGCTAGCGCGGGGCCGGCCCTCAAGCCTGGTGGCACCCAGGCGGGCTCTTCAGTGGACCACCGCGGGCGGAGGCCTGGCGAGGGCGGGAGCCGGTGAGTAGCCACGTCACGCTCCTCCGGGAGGCTCCGCCCCCGCTCCGGCCTCTCGGGCCGCCCCCTCTACGCCCCCGCGAGCAGTTACCGGCTGAGGGAGCGCGCGCGTCCCTGAGTCGGCTAGAGGTTCTTCGGCCCCGGCTTGCTGCGTCTCCGCCGCTGCCCGCGCCAGGTGAG